CTTCTTCTGTCGAGTTAAATCCACTATATGGTCCTTGAACATGAATGACTCATATATGGCATGTTCTCAAAGAATAGCTGTTTTTTTGTTTGTTTGTTTTTAAAGATTTTATTTTTCCTTTTTCTCCCCAAAGCCCCTCGGTACATAGTTGTGCATTTTTAGTTGTGGGTCCTTCCAGTTGTGGCATGTGGGACGCTGCCTAGCATGGCCTGATGAGCGGTGCCATGTCTGCGCCCAGGATTCGAACCCGAGAAACCCTGGGCTGCCGATGCAGAGTGCCCAAACTTAACCACTGGGCCACGGGGCCGACCCCCTCAAAGAATGCCTGTCAAATGAACAAATAAATGTACATCATTTTACTTGTCAAAAATAAATAAATAAAGACAATGAAAAAATCTACTAAAATAAAATCACCCTTTGAGTGCATACCTGGAAAAGCATCTTGGTCCTTGTTGCAATTTGGGGGAAGAGGATCCAGGCAGTGCACAGTTTGGACATTCTGAGTGAGGAGCTCGCCCCTGGGATGTTTAGGAAAACCGAATACAAGAAGTGGAACTAGAACTTCTCGGAAGAAGAGCACATCTCCTCAAGAAACGCAGAAAAGCAACAAAACAGAAATTCACAGTGTGTGATATGATGTGGGAGGCTACTCGTTGGTAGATGTGGTTAACTGAAAGTTTGGGTGGAATAATGATAATAACAACAACAACGATGATGGAAAGCAAGGTAGTCAGATAGGGGCTAGATTAACAGGCCTTGAATGTTGGCCTAAGGAATTCAAACTTGATTCTAACCCAGGGAGCCTTGAAGAACAGCAGAGAGCTGGTGTACACCACTTACATGCACCCCAGGCACCCCTTTAGCAAACTTCAGTGGCTCCTAGTTCTTGAAGAGCACGTGTTCCCTACCTTGTCTGTGTACTCTGAGAACCAAATTGCAAGCAGGGTCCCCCCTCGTTCAAGCATCTTTCTTTAACCATCTGAGGGATTCTTTGAAACATAATAATGCGTAGTCGTCAAACAAGAAATTAATTGAAAACTTAAGTATCCACATTATAGGATGAACCATATACAGTTTTTTAAAGCAATGAATGTAAGTAAATATGTAAACAATAAACTGTAAATAGTATGAGATATCCTAGTCAAGGGTTTGAGCCTTTCTTACTAAGAAATTTGTGAAACAAGGCTAATTGATTTTATGAAGATTCACGTCCAACACATTCTTTAAAGGGAAATATCTTTGTCCCAGGCCTGCCAAGCTCTCCTTCTCTCATCTTCCTGATTTAGGATAAGTTGGTGATCATTGTAGGTATCTAATTGGTCCAGCTTCCATGATAACCCGCAATGGGTTGATTATTTCTTTGCATCAGAGATAAGACAGAATATAATTCAAATATCAATTCCCAATCGAGATTGGAATTTTTCGGAGTTGAGTGTGTAAGTAGAGAGACCTCCTCAACTATAATCCTAAACTCTAGCTACATTTTTTCTGCTCAACTCCTGTGCAAGTCTGGACAATGCTGACATTTAATTTGGCTCTTCTCCAGTAAGAGCTCTACAGAGCTACCAGCCCCAGCTCCAAGTGACTTTCCAGGAAACAGCTTCCATTCTGGACAGGACCTTAGTAATGATGGGGTTGGGATGGCGGCGATACACCTCATGGCTTGGGAAGAGCAGTGGCCGGGGGTTAGCATGGAGAGAGAGAATGCGTAGGTTACAGGCGATTGGCAAGTCTCTCCATTACTCAAAAGTCTTTGACGGGCTGGTCCATGGTGTAGTGGTTCAGTTTGACACGCTCTGCTTCGCAGGCCCAGTACGCAGGTTCTGGTCCCGGGGGAGGACCTACACCACTCGTCAGCCATGCTGTGGCAGCGACCCACATATAAAGTAGAGGAGGATTGGCATAGATGTTAGCTCAGGGCTAATCTTCCTCAGCAAAGAAAAAGAAAAGTCTTTGAGTCTTTGCGGACTCTCTGGGTTACCTCTCAAAGTCCTTCCTGGCCACACAGCTTAGTTTTACTTTTAACCATTTAGGGCCCTCTATGTGTTGTTAGCCAAGCAGACAGTGTCCTACTGAGATGGGGCTGGTGGCAGTAGTGTGCAGAGTGTGTGGGAGCCGGAAGGTGGACGTATCCCATTCTGGGAGTTTCGTGCTGAGGACTTGAACTAAAGCCTAATAAGAGGACTGGAAAGAAGAAATAGATGGTAGTGTTCCTAGGAGGTATATGGTTATTTCATCTTTATATATTATATATATATATATATATATATACACATTTTTTCTTTTAAGGAAGATTAGCCGTGAGCTAACATCTGTTCCCCTCTTCCTCTACTTTATATGTGGGACTCCTGACATTGTATGGCTTGACAAGCAGTGTATACGTCCACACCCGGGATCCAAACTGGAGAAACCTGGGCTGCTGAAGGAGAATGAGTGAACTTAACTGCTGCTCCACCGGGCCCGCCCCTATGTATTAAATATATATATATATTTTTTTTTTTTTTTTGAGGAAGATTAGCCCTGAGCTAACAACTGCCAATCCTCCCCTTTTTGCTGAGGAAGACTGGCCCTGAGCTAACATCCGTGCCTGTCTTCCTCCACTTATACGTGGGACGCCTACCACAGCATGGCTTTTTGACAAGCTGTGCCACGTCGGCACCCGGGATCCAAACCGGCAAACCCTGGGCTTCCAAGAAGCGGAACATGTGAACTTAACCGCTGCGCCACCAGGCGGGCCCCTATGTATTATATTTTTAATTGTAAGATTACAGGAAAGGTTTGTTAATTTAATTAGCTCACATCAAGGTTGTCTTCTTTTGATGAATAGCTTTTTTTTTTTTTTTTTACTTGCTGAATTGTTTTAAAAGACCCCTTCTGTTCTTAGGTGAAAGGATATATTTCCTGAAGAAATAGGAGCTCAAAACATCTTGCTAGGAATGTGGGAGTCAACTCTCAGGAAAGTATTTGGTTGCTGGAAAGTGATCATGAAATTGGGTTCTCGGTAAACAAAGTCCTTCTGTAATTACAGAAAAAGTTACTTTGAAACCAGTAGACTGAGTGTGCCCGGAGTTAATCACATTACAAATAACTCCATCTACCCAGGCAGTGGAGTCCGTGCAGTGTGTGGGATTTCCACCCTCTACCGTATTTCTGTCTTGATGTTTGGTAGGTGAGCTTTGACTATACAAAGTCAATTGTCCAGCTATGGTGAATAAGTCAAAGGAAATTTTAAAAATGAAGAAATGAATTTTCAAAAGAATGATTTTTTTAAGATAAATTTAGAAAAAGGCAGGATGTTTCTTTGGCTTCTGGATTAATTTGCTCTATCACAGAACTCCAGAGAAAAGGGGAACATCTCAGAATGCATACATAATATGTTGATGTTATGTAATAAAGTTTTGCTAAATTAAGCTGGAAGGAAAACGCTAATGGAATAAGAATTTTGATAATGTAAATAAATTTGAGTTTTATTGGGGGAAGGGAAATTAGAAATTAAAAGAAAAAAGAAAGGGGCTGGCCCCGTGGCTGAGTGGTTAAGTTCATGTGCTCCACTTAGGTGGCCCGGGGTTCTCGGGTTCAGATCCAGGGTGTGGACTTACGCACCGCTCATCAGGCCATGCTGTGGCAGCATCTCACACAAAATAGAGGAAGATTGGCACAGAAGTTAGCTCAGGGCCAATCTTCCTCACACAAAAAAAAGAAAGAAAGAAAGACAAGAAAAGAAAAATCTGGAAGAGTGGGTCTGTACAAAGAGGCAGAAATATATATACAAATGTGATTGTGTTGCGGAAGTTCGGTTTTATTTCTGTTCTGAAGAAAGTGATAAACACAGGTGAAACACATCTCCCCAGTCCTCAGCTGATGCAAAATGTGATTCTAAATATTTAGGTTGTATTCATTGAGCAAGCATGAATTTTATCCAGGATAAAGTTTATCCAAGATACTTTCTGTATTAACAGAGTCTGATTGCTAAAGGTGATGAATAAAATAATTCCCACCTTTAATAATAAAAGAATTTGGAGAAAAAAATGAGTTTGAGATGTTTTATTATAAATTACAAATGAGGCAAAAACTCAGTTCACCATAATATTTTCGCAAATCAGAAAGTTTGACCACGCTAACTTGAAGAAGTATCTTGGGGTTAGATTGATGTCATCTTCAATTCTCACTTTTCAAGAAGCTCCCAGAGATAAAATAGAAACTTAATCTTTCTCCGCTTGCTGTTTAATTCAGCTTTGCTGCAATATTGTCACACTGTTCTTCCAAGAATGTGTATTATGAGCCTGCTAAATCTGCTTCTTCCTCTATTAAACTCTGTTTAAATTTCAGGTCTTCGGGCTGGCCCCGTGGCCAAGTGGTTGAGTTCTTGCGCTCTGCTTCAGTGGCCTGGGGTTTCGCTGGTTCGAATCCTGGGCACGGACATGGCACCACTCATCAGGCCACGCGGAGGCCTGATGCCACATGCCACAACTAGAAGGACCCACAACTATGTACTGGGGGGATTTGGGGAGAAAAAAAGCAGAAAAAAGAAAAAAAAAGGTTGGCAACAGTTGTTAGCACGGGTGCCAATCTTTAAAAAAATAAAAAAATTAAGGTCTTCATATTTTCCAGTATCAATGTACCCCATTCAAAACGAATTTTCCTTTTTTTTTTGATTTCATGGGATTTAAATTTTTCAAAAATTTTCTATTTGGCTTACAGGATTGATTGAACTACACGGAGCTACGTTTGAAAGTTCATATTTTAACTTATTAAATATGTAATATGAAAACCCAGTTCTAGATCCGTTTATTCTTATTACCAAACATTTTAACGATTTTATTTTTTTTTGCTTTTTCTCCCCAAAGCCCCCCGGTACATAGTTGTATATTCTCAGTTGTGGGTCCTTCTAGTTGTGGCATGTGGAACGCTGCCTCAGCATGGCTCAATGAGCGGTGCCATGTCTGCACCCAGGATTCGAGCCAATGAAACACTGGGCTGCCTGCAGCGGAGAGCGCAAACTTAACCACTCGGCCACGGGGCCGGCCCCACCAAACATTTTAAACAACATTTTGCAGTTGATGTGAGAACAACCTTAAAAGTCATAAGAGGCACAGGTGGGTAAAAGTGATCCTGTTCCAGTCTGTATGGAACCGCTGTGTGATGGAGGAAGCAGACCTCAGTGACGTAACACCGAAATCAGTATAAATCGCCGACCGTGGAAGTTAAAGGATGTTATGAAGATGTACACAGAGAAATTAACCTACCCTAGAGGTTCAGGGGAGTTGTCGCTAAAACCGTCCTTTGAGCCAGAATCAGAAGAATGAGTAAGGAGTTAACATGGCAAAAGGGAAGGTGCCAGGAGAGAGAACATTTGCAGCCGGTACAAAGGCCCTGAGGCCTGAGGGGGTAGCCACTGGGAAGAAGGTCTGTGTGGTTGGAGGGGCTTGAGTGAGGAGGGGACCCAAGTCAGAAGGGTGTCGCTTGGATGGAGGCAGTGGGTGCTTGATCTGAGTCATTGACTGCAGGAGGCAGAGCAATTGGGGTCAGACGACCGAGGTAGAAGGAATTCCAGGTCAGTGCTGTGGGGACCAGGATTTGTGGGGCCAGTAGATTTGTGACCTCGGGCTCGTCACCCGATTGCTCTACATTTTGGTTTCTTAATCTCTAGGAAACTGATTGCAGTGGGAGGAGAGCTAGAATTGGTTCCCGGCTCTCCTGCTGACTGACGGGGTGATTAGGGAAACTAGTTAACTCCCCTGCTCCTCAGCTTTTTCATCCAGAAAATGACGAGGATGATTCCTACCCTGTCTGCTTTGCAGTGTAGTTGTGAAGAGAAAATTAGATAATAAATGGGAAAGCACTTTAAAAAATCGGGAAGCATGATACAATGAAGGTAATGACACAATATGAATAATGATATTGATGGCTAGAGGTTCGTCAGCAGAAATGTGGATACTCCTGAGGATGAAGTCAGGCACAGGGAAGAAGATCAATACTAAGCCGAGAGCTGATTTTTCCAAACTGTTATGGAAATGAGTTAGTTCTTTATTCCACGTTAACCAATTGAAGCCAGTTTTGTGATTAGACTGGAAGTTGTCTTATCCGCTTGGTTGAAGCCAAATGGATCTGAGTTTGAATCTCAGCTCCTCCACTTAGCAGCTGTATTGGTTTTCTATTGCAGCATAACAAATGTCCATGCATTTAGCAGATTAAAACAATACTCATTTATTATCTCACAATTTCCTTAGGTCAGAAATCAGCATCACTCAACTGGGTTCTCCACTGAGGGCCTCACACGCAAGGTGTTGGCCAGCTGTGCTCTCATCTGAGGTTCTGGGAAAGAATCCACTTCAAGCTCATTCAGATGGTTGGCAGAATTCTGTTTCTTGTGGTTGTAGGACTGAGGTCCTGGTTTCCTTGCTGGCTGTCAGCCAAGGGTCATCCTCAGCTTCTAGAGGCATCTCTTTAGTCCTTGCTTGTGGCCGGCTCCATCCTCCATCTTTGAGCCAGCAGTGGTACATCAGGCGTTTTCCTGCTTTGAATCTCTCCATCTTCTTCTTCCGGTAATGGGCAGAGAAAGCAATTGGCCCTTAAGGATTTATGTGACTAAATCAAATCTGTGGATAATCTCCTTATTTTAATGTCAACTGAGCCACAGGATATAACATAATCAGGCGAGTGGTATCTCATTATATTCACAGGTTCTCGGAATCAGGGCATGGAATTTTAGGAGCCATTTTCAGAATTCTGCCTACCACAATTTCTTAAGGTGACCCTGACGACTTTGTTACTTAACCTCTATCGGTCTTAGTTTCTTCATGCATACAATAGAGTAAATTCATACCTTGAAGCATCATTGCATTGATAACTAAAATAAGATAGACATTGTGCCTACAACATAGCAGATATGCAACAAATGTGAATGCCCTTTGCCTGACATCTCACAGCCTCTATTGTACATTGAAAGCCTGGCTAGCTCCTAATGCCAGAGAAAATTTTCTGCAGAAAGAGGATTGGGTCATCTGCCTTACAAGTTTGGATGTTCTTTTAGAGTTTTATGCTACTGTATTGCATAAGCAAGTTTTGATTTCTCCTAAGTAGTTGGAGACTGATATTTGCTGCGTGTAGGCATAAATTAAGAACTTGGACCAGAGAAGAACCTCTCAGAATTCCACCTCGGGGTGTCTGTGTCTGATCTTTAAAAAAAACAAGAATGTATGTCTCGGCAGTAGCAGTAACTTCTTGGTAGTGGTGGTGGGTAAGACAAAAACAGGAATTTATATATAATTGCTGGAGTTTAGTTTGTCCTGCAAATTTTATGGGTAAATTCCTTCAAAGCCTACCTGCTTTTAAGACTGCAGAACTTGGTGAAAGAAAGCGTGTTTTCCCTACTTTAGTTGTGAAGACATCATAATGCTTGCACTGTGATGTTTCATGCATTCCCTCCATGCAACAGTAAGTTTTTATAGAGCCCCCTTCTTTACTAATATGAATTTCAACAAAAGAGCCAACAGCCCTTAAATCCATCAACTGGTCATAAATCTAAGCAGCTGCATTATGAGTCAGAGATCAGCGCAGTGAATGGGCTACTGTGTTTCCACCCGGGAGATGGAGCACACCCTCTCTGAAATGGTCATTCTCCCTTCAATCAGTAACGTTCAGGTTAAGGGGAAGTCAGAACGGCAGCTCTTCACGAGTCTTCAAAGGCAAGGTGGTAAGGAGAGGTGATGGGGGATCCGTAGACCTGAACGTGGATGTTAGTCAGAAAGGGGTAGCTCTTATTGTGAATTTCAAGCTTCCTTTCAACTACTTACTATCCTTCATTTCTCCAGTAATAGAAAGGAATTAGTAATTTCTGTGTATTAATATTTGCCTCAGAAGAGTCTGTTCAGGGTTAACGTTATAGCATGAAAAAATGCTTTGCATGGAGCATATTATCTGGGGATTATGCATTTTCTGTGTTCTACTCCAGGGCCTAAGCCATTGATAATGACTAATGACATAGTCTCAGAGGAGGACAGAAAAAAGAAATGTGATGTACGCTAGTTCAACCACATGAGCCAGAAATCTTCCAATCCACAAATGTTCTTTACCCACTCAGGTTAGTAAAGTCTGGATTAAATAAAACCTTGGGAAATGGGATATTATGGCTTACTGAAATTTTGGGTCACCAGAACTTCTGTTCCTTTGCAATACACCGTATAAAAAACCTTTAGACATACCAGTGCCTTAAAATGCCATCTTAAGATAATTGGGTCTTTTTCTCACTGATCCAGGTATTGTGGTAGCTCATGGTTGCCTGTCTGAATATTCATTCTTACTGTGTAACGCTGAGGAAGATCGTCCCGAGGGCAGACTGAACCGATGCTCAGGGCTCATCATAGAAGTCACTTTGAAAAATTGCCTGTGTCTCTGATGGGTTAGTTTCTTTTAGTTTACTGCTTTCTCCATAAATGGAACACAGACAATTAATCCACTATGAAACCAAGGTCTATTTAGTATCTGGATGACTGACATGTGCTCCAACACCCCACTGTCTAGCACTGTTTAATACTTTTTAAAAAGGACAAAAATATATACTATGTACTATAGAGTGTATGAAAGAACATGGGAGGTGGAAAAGAAAATTTAATAACAACCACTGTTTATTCAGATATTTCTGTATTGCTACGTATTGCTAAGTGTTTGCCTGGATTATTTCATTTAGTACAACAGAGAAGCTTATGAAAGAAATGTCACATCGTGGTTGCCCTCACCTCCAATTTACTGATAAAGAAATGGAGGACCAGAAAGGTTGGGAATTCCCAGGGCCACCCAGCGAGAAGGTGCTGGGGGGCTCAGATTTGAGTGCAGTTCTATGTGACTCTGATTCCGTAATGCTGGTGATGGATGTGCTGTGAAGCGATGTGTAACATAATGGCATGTAATAACCTCCTGGTAGAAGGGAAGCTGCACTTTCAAGGCAGGCTGAACTCCCTGAAAGGCCTTTTCTTCAGAAGAGGAAACCACACCAGACGGAGAAGTGACGTTATACGGAGACCCTTTGGTTGGGCTTGGTCTAGACCCAGCTTCTGATGGGGTGTGGCCTGGGGCCTGCCAGCCTCTGGGGGGTGCGTGGAGAGGCCATAATCCTTGTCATCGCTGGCTGTAGCTGCTGGAGAGCGGCTGTCAGGCAGCCACTTGGGGTAAGCTGCTGAGAACAGGGGGCTCATTCTTCTACTCAGCCAGACATGAGGTGGGATGGGTGGGAGGCTGGGGCGGAGGACAAGAGTGGTGTTCTGCCCGGGAAGGAGCTGTGTAGACCAAGGGTGAAGATGATGTTCTATGAGGCACTGCCACGCTGCCCCTCCTTGGCTTTCTGAGAATGACAGTATTGGTTTAAGTGGGCAAATGCTGTTATTTACACAGAGTTCTACCATGTATGCCTTCTGAGATGCTCCAGAGGCACCCACTGGGTGTGCTTGTCACTCTGAGGCGTGATAAAGGAAACACCAAGCCCATTGCCTTCACTCATCCAGTTTAGAGTACGCTGGAGATAACTATTTTAACATAAATCTTGAACGGTTTAATGTGAAGCTTTAAAATTAAGCAAAAGTTACAGTGGAGTATAGTGGAAATATTGTCATTTACAAGACTGGCATAACAGAAAGTGTTATTTCAGAATAGCATAATCCTCTCTCTTTTAAAATGGATTTTCCTGATGCTGCTGCATCAGATTGGACCTCAGATTCCAGAATCCGCAGCGCTGTCTCACCACTCACTCCCATGCAAGAGGGCAGCTGTAGGAGTCAAAGGACCTTCTGACATCCAGAGCCAATGCTGCCTTTGGCCAGCCATTGGAACACCGTCATCAGACATGGTCCATGTACTGATGAGGAACCGTGCTTGGTGCTAAGCAGAGATGCATCGCTTCAAGGACAAGAGAGACAGCTGGGAAAATTGCTCTAGAGGATTATAAAGTCACATCAGAAATAGAATCTCTGAGAAAGGGTGGAAGGTAAAATCATTTTCCCTTCGTATAGCAAATCTCAGCATCTAAGACCCCCAGATTTCAATGGAAATCCTTTAAAAGAGATGATAGAAGAAAAACATCAGGCACACCTGTTGCATCAATATCACTGAGCTATGGTAATATCCGTGCAGTGACCTCCAGATGGCCTCGTGACTGATGGTAGAGAAGCACCTGAAACCCATTAGAGGATTTTATCATCTTCATAAAACCTGACCCCAAAGCAATTTGTCATTTGCCTTTACAATGAAAGCAGGAGAAATTTTTGTAATATCTGACAATAACCAACATGGACCACGTGGGAATAAAGAGGAAGACAAGTTGCAGCGGGGGATGACGTGCCCTTAGCCTGCCCTCTCATGAAATTCTCACAGGTTAAATGAGCTGTGTCACTGTTGGAAGGCAGAATAAGAATCAGCAGTTAACGCATCCAGAGCGAGAGCTGATCTTCGGCGACAGGTGACATGAAAATGCATTCTGACTTTTTAAGTTTTATGCTATGGGAACTAAGACTTTTAGGAGTCACAGGAAGTACAAAAGAACTCGAGAGTGCTCAAGAGATGCGCTTTATCATCCAAGGGAGGAGTTTTCCTTATTTTAAATTTATTAATAATTCACCTAAACGTTTCCAGTCTAGGAGTTATCTAACCAGTCTGTTTGTCTTTCTTGATGGGAGCCTCTATCTGTAAGGCTTTTGAACCCTGTGTCTCCTGGTGTGAGAAGAGAATTTTGAGTTAAAAGACAGCAAGAGAACTTGCCCAATATCACCATCAAACTAGAGACCTAAGCAAGCTGTGGAGACGAACTCCCGTGCCTGTGAGCTGAGACAGGTTTTTCTTATTGAAAACGTGGGTGCAGGTGTTGGGGGACCCTCACCTTCAGCCCTCCAGTAGTTGGTTGAGAGAGGGTGAACCACTTCTCTATGAGCAGATGGATGACAGCCCTGGCCATCTTGGGTTTCTCCCTCTGCTTATACCTATTTGATGTGCTAACGATTGTGTGGGGTTGGGAGTCTAGCAGAGATTTCCAGAAAGGGGTAAAAAATCCCAGAAGGGAAATACAGAACCAACTTTGTCCTTCCACATCTTCCTGTGCATGGAAGGAAAATCCGAGATTAAGTGGGCAAATACTTTTATTTATAGAGTATGAAAAGCTTCATATGTCCACTGCAGCATGCACTCAGTGTTCTGTTCATTTTCTGTTTTCAGGCTTTTCAAAAACTAATTTCCAAACCACATAAGCAACACATTTAGGTATATAAACAAAGCATGAGTATAAATTTTCTAAGTATGCAAATACATAGGAAAAGTTTCTGGAAATCTCTACAGTAGAATGATAATAATGGCTAACTCGGTAGAAGGGATGAGAGAGGACGGATGGAGGAGCCAGGCTGGAGCAGGGGTTGGTCAAAGGGGACTTTTGCCTTATTTGTAACATTTTAATATTTTACATGGAGAAGACTTTTTACTCATTTGCCTTATTTCTAGAAACCTCTGCAGGCTTGCCAATTATTCCTACACCTCAGCATTCCCCACTTGGGAGTCCAGTTGAAAAATTCAGATTTGGGGAGTTGAGTATATGCTTTTTGACCAAAGGATTATGTTATTAATCAAAGAAAGCAGCCTACTGGAGTTCGATAGAATCAGATTGGTAACACTCGCCATAGAGTCTTTCCACAAATAGATAACAATCCACTCTCTTCCTCCTCCTTGGAGAATGCCGTTCCAAGGCCTGATTTCTGGTCCTAAATAGAAAGCCATTGTTGCAGGCTCCACTCAGTCTAGTTGCAAGGACAGATAGGAGGCCTGGAAAGTCCCTCCATCCACTTAACACAGAACAACTGATTCTCGGAACCAGATGGGAAACGGAGGTGGGGCAACACGGAAGCCAGCCAGCTCCCTTCACCTTGGCCTCCCTGCTTCCCAACCAGCTCCTCACTGCTGGAGGCGCCATGTCCTCCCAGCCTGGCCCAAACCCTGCCCTCCCTCTGGCTCCTACTGCTCTTTTCTATGCACCTCGTGCTCTAGCCAAAGGAAACCACCTCCTGTTTCCTGAATGTTCCCATGCTTTCCCGGAGCATGCCTTGTTCACGCCTATTCTTCTGCCCACTGAAATCCTACTTGTCCTTCAAAGCACATCTCCAGCGCCAGAGTCTTTCTGAATCTGCCCAACCAGACGTCATTTCCTCCTCCTCCGACCCCTGTCCTCATCCGAAGCTTCTCCACGTCTAGTTAGAAATGCACGTGTCTCGTTCTCCCTGAGTGAGTGTGAGCCCCGTGAAGGCAGGGGGGTGTTTGAGCTCACATTCCATTCCTCTGTCCTTCCCATATGCGAGGCCTCATTCTAGGATCTGGAGAAATAAAAATGGACAAGGAATTGCCCCATTCTCCTGGAGCTCATACTTTGGAGATTTCGGTAATTACAATGCTGTTGGGTTAGGACAATGTACCCCCAGCTCTCAAATTCACAGACTCTGTTCACTGGAGGCCCTCTAGGAACACAGGAGCCTGACCTCTTCTTTGCAAACTCTGAAACTTCTCGAAACTGAGAAGAAGACTCATTCTGCACAGGGTCAATGGACCCGGGTAGGATGCCGGAGGGGAGCCCACCTTTCCAGTGGAGAGGGAAGAGAGCAACGTAAAATGACGCAGAGATGAGCAATTCAGTCATGGAAGCAGAATCAGTAACTTACCCATGTGATCACTGGGGAGACCAAGAAGCATGCAAGTCTCTCTGCTCCCTGGTGTGTGTGTATGCATGTACGTGTGTGTGTATGCATGCACGCGTGTGCGTGTACACGTGTGTATGTGTGTGTGTCTGAAGAGAAACAGCTGTTGGAAACCCATGGTACTTCAAGTCCTCACATCGCCTTCCTTCCTGGATGGGTTGGGGGGCCCAGCTCTGGCCACAGGACTGCTGGGTCCTGTGGGCCCTTCCCACCAGTGGCTTTAAGGCCTGGCCCCCATTTCAGGGTAGATGGAAGATGGAGACTCCAGCCTCCACCTAGCTCCTTGCTGTGGGCACTCTTAAAAACATATTTGGCCTTTAGGAGAATAAAAGAGAAATGAGATGGAGCTAGGCTGTGCCCCGGGGAGCTGGCAGGTGAGGGTAGAGATGAGAAGGATGTAGTTCTGGCGGTGTCAGTGTCCCAGAGGAGAAAACTGCCACTGGCCTTGTGTAAAGTACCTTGCACGGTAGTCAGGCATCTGGCTGAGAGTGGACTCTGGAGTCTGAGTGCCTGGGTTCAAATCCTGGTTCTGTCACCTACTGGCTGGCAGCCCTGTGACAGTTAATTTAATGACTCTAGGCTCCAGTTTCTGCATCTGTGAAATGGGGACAGTCCATCCTCATAAAGTTGCTGTAAAGGCTTAAATGAAAGTGCTTAGAGCAGCACTTGGCACAGAGTGAGTAATCCATAAATAGTAGCTGTTCTGATTAGAATGGGATGCAATGAATCCTAGATCGCATCTTCTCCTTCTCATTAATCTTGTATGACCAGACCAAATTCAGCCATTGACAAGGATAGCATTAAGCACAGTCCACCTGACTAGGGAGTGCTTTTTCCTCCTTTGGACTAATTCCAAACCTCCCCCACCTCCCCTCAGGCGTCCAGGACCCCCTGTAGTCTCCTTGGCTGGTTAGGTAAGGTACTCCTTCTGGGTACCCATCCAAGGATGCCCACACCAGACAGAACTCTAATTCTGGAGCTAGCGCAACAGCATTTATCTACCCCCTTAGAACTTTATAAACTTAGAGGACAAAAGCAGTGTCTAATTGCTTCCTTTCTTTTTTTTTTTTTTTCCTTTCACAAATATTTTTTAACAGGTTCTTCTTCCGTGTCAGATGCACAAACATTTGTTCATCATCTGTGTCCTTCTCTAGAAAGCTGTTTTTCTTAGTTGGAAAGGAGCTAGCATTCATTCGTGCCCGTGAGTTTCTCCTTTTGGCCTGAAACTCTTGCCTTATCTAAGTGATGGTGACATTTTAGGTGTCGTGTGTTGGCTAGAGAGAGAGACGTTTTCGAGAAGGAGGTATGAAACTGGTCCAGAACGGTTCCTGCCAGCGCTTGGATTTCACACCACAAAGGCAACCCGGGACTCTGCTTTTGTAAAAGTCACCGTTGGCACTCAGACCCACTGACCAGGCTCCATTTCCTGCCAAAGGGGATTTGACATAAAATTAGTGCAACCTCATTTCAATCAATTTTAACCAATATTTTTATATTCTAAAGCACAATATCTGTAATATCCTGGAATATTGAACAAAAATGAAATTTTGGCTTTGGTTTATACACGTAAGCATAGAGCAATTTGGCGCCTTTCTGTTTGGTTTAATTGCATTTTTACAAATATAATTTGATCGCATTAGAATAGATTTGTAAAAGGACAGATTAGGAAAGACGAGGATGGCAAGGAGTGAATAAACCGGGAGATTGAAGAAAGCTGACATCAGAATCGTAAGCACTATAGTCTACGAGGCAATTCCTCATAAGTACTTCATTTGAGGCTTAGAGGACATAAGCGTTATCCGACCCATTTTATAGATGGGAACACTGGGGTGCGGGGGTATCTGGCTTTCCACGAGGACTTGAATTTTTATAGATGCCATACTTAGTGCCTATGCCATACTGCCTCTCGAAGGAGGTAGTGAGGGTAGAGGCGGACAGGAGACGGGTGCCAACAAGCTTGAGGTGAACACAGAGGGTGCTGGCATTGGGCCAGCAGGAAACAAAGCCAGAACTGCTGCTGACCAGCTGCCAGCACAGCTGTTATAACTGCCACACCTCTCTGTGAAGGGCCAAGTGGGCCGGGCTGGCCTGGGCTATCCTGGTCTGCCTTCAAACCCAGGCTGCAGCCTGCTCTCTGTGGACTTGTCCCATTGCCCCATCACCGGGAAAACCAGGAAAAGATATTGCTGTCCCCTAAGTGCTGAGAGACCTCCTCCACCTCCACCCCTGCCTCCCGCTTCTGACCTTTTCACCCCAGAGGCACCCTGCAGTGCTCTGCAATAAAGTTATGGATTATTCAGTGACCGTTCCCCTGCTCTGCTCCTGCTGGCTGACATTGCTGACCACTGGGCCCTGAGCTGGGTCAGTGCACAGTCTGGAGTGATCCCTGGTGACGCTGGGAAATGAACCTACGACCTCTTCTTGCCGAGGGTCAGTGAACTTTCTGGTGGTGCACGGGTCCATCAGAAAAAAGTCAGCAGGGCCAGCCGGGAAAAGTGCTGACAACTGTGGGCATTTGCAAAGCAGCCTCCTCACACGGAAGACTGATAGCTATCTGTCCTTATCTCAGCTTTCCCAGCTTCCACAGCCCGGCCCTTTACTTTGAATAAGCAAATTGACATTGAGGTCATCTTAAATTAACCAATCATATTCCCCAGGTCATTTTCTCAAGGAAAGAGTTGAACCCAAAGAAGGGTGTGTATCCTTTGAAAGGATCATAAATCTATGCTTCTCTTGGTTTTTCTTTCCATTTTTCTCTTCCCTGTGTTACGTATGCTTTTATACTCATCCTATTGTCTTTCATTTATATTTATTTTTCTATTTGTATATTTAATTGAATATGTAGTCATACTCTCCTGATATATTTATAAATACTACCCTACTTACACAAATACTATGTGTTGAGGTACGTGCTCAGAGCTGTTACACATACAAGGAGAGGTCTTTGCCCCTAGGAGAGTCTGGTTTGATCAGGCAGCTAGAATACACGCACAAACATCCACGCGACAGATAGGATGCAATAAATATCACAAAAGGGACATGAAGACATTGCTATCGGAGTATAGAGGAGAGTAAGTCCGTGTTCAGACTGGACCCACTTTCAGACGAAGTGATCAGGGAGGCTCAGGAGGTATGACATTTGGTCCATGAACTGACCATTGATGACTGAGGTGGCCTGGCACTGGGTTCTTTCGCAGGGTCTGGTGCAAAGTGACACCTCACACATTCCAGGTAGAAAGAGCAGCGTGAATAAGAATGTGGACACAGTGAATGACAAGCAGCCTCGTTTTCCTTCACTGTTTCTTTTGGCAAATGTTTATTGAGCATCTACTGTGAACCAGGCAGGCATGGCTCTAGGTGTTGAGGATCCAGGAATAAAATAAACGCACACAGTTCCTGCTGTCACTGGCCTTACCTTCTGGTGGCAGGAGAAAGACACTCAACAAAGAAAACTATAACATACCAGGTGGTGTTAGGCACTGAAAAGAAACGCAAAGCAGAATACAGGGGCAGAGAGTGACAAGGGAAGTGTTATGTTAAAGAGGGTAGTTGGGAAAACCATTCTGACAAACCAAAACTTGATGGAAGAGAGAGAGGCCGCCATGCAGATTTCAGGGGCTGAAACCCCAAGGCAGAGGGAATAACAAGCGTGGAGAGAACACACTGGGTGTGTGTGAGGAGCACAGACGAGCCAAAGGGGCAAGTGTTTGAGGGGGTGAAGTACAGGGGACGAGGCTAGAGAGAGCGTTGGGATCACATCCTGTGGGGCTCTGCACACCGTGGTAACGACTTGGTACTTACTCTGACCACTTTGAGCAGAGCAATGACATGATCTCACTCATACTTCCAGAGGAGACTAGACTGCAAAGTAGGCTGAAGCTGGGAGATGAGCTAAGAGTCCTATAGTTTTCCTTTTCCTGGAGCATGGTGTACAGATATTGTGCATACGGAACTAGTTTATTTTTCCAGGAAAAAAACCTGGAGGAGTAATTTGGAACCAGAACATGGAGGTTCTGCCTTGCGAGCCAAGCCAATGACATTTTTGGAGACAGCGAGGAGCCATTGGAAGAGTTAAGCAGCTAAGTGCTATGATTGTTATTTAGCTTAGAAAAGCTAAACAGGGCTCAGATTCTAGGACTTGAGGGGTGTGGGTCCTGCTTCTGCCAGTCCCCAGCCCTGAAATCTTGGGCAACCATTGAACCACCCTAAACTTTAGTTTCACCATCTGTAGTTTATTCATATGCTCCTCTCCTCTCTATACTGCCAAGAGTTATTATGAAGATGATGTGATAGGAATATATATGAAAGCCTTCCATAAACCATGACACAGAGAACCATAGCAAGGATGATGATGATGGTGATGGATTGAAAAGGGGTGCCTGGATGAAGACTTATTGGGGAGCTGCTGCCACTGTCCAGGTGACCTGGACAGGCCTGAGATGAGGTGATGGGAGTGGGAATGGGAAGGAAAAAGCAAATGTCAAAGACATTGCAAAGGAAGAATCTACAGCTCTGAGGGATGGGCGGTGAATACTCTGTAAGTGCTATAGTTAGGGTCAAACACTCAATCCTGCAGCCTGCTGGGAGACTTGTGAGTTCTCATGCAAGGTTATAGTTGCCACCATGGGCTTGCTGCAACGATGGGCAGAGGGATAAACATGGAGGATCAAAGGCTGGCCCGGTGCAGGAAGGAGCAGCAGAAGATACACTGGTATAGGAGATGTGGGAATAACTGTCAGAGAGGGAAGAAACCAAATGAAAATTGTAGCTTGGGAGAGGGGGCAAAGAAAGGCTGTACAGAAGATCCCTGGTGAGGTGAGAAATATGACAGCTTGGATATGAAGATCAAGGAATAGGAAAGACTCCAATGTCAGGGGTTTTAATATCAAAGACAAGAAGTGGGATGAGAGGTATCAGAAATGGGGCCACTGGGAAGGGAGGTAGTTTTAGGAGGGAAGATGCTAAGTTTGGACATTTTCAGCTTACAGTACCATCAGGACAGACAATGAGAGCTATCTTGTAGGCAGTTGGACACATGAGATGGGGCTCAACACAAGTTGAGTTGGTTGAATTGACTATAGACACGTAAGGGATTAATGCTTGTAATGAGGGTTTAGATGGAGTGGGAGAGTAAATGAAAGGTCCTGGGAAGGAGATGGGCAGAGGGAAGCGTGCCGAAGATAGAGACCTGAAGGCACCCACAGGTAAGGTATGGAAGGATGAAGATGAAGGGAGATGCAGAGGTGACATAGCATCAGACAGAGAGAAAGGCTGAGACATGGAAGGCAAAGGAATTATTTTTAAAAGGATATAGTGGTCAGAAGTGTCCAAGATCATTATATATTAGAATATTACTCAGCCGTAAAAAGATGAAATCTTGCCATTTTTGACAACATGGATGGACCTGGAGGGTACTATGCTAAGCGAAATAAGTCAGACAGAGAAAGCAAATTCTGTACTATTTCACTCATATGTGGAAGATAAAAAACAAACAAACAAAAAACAAACACATAGACACAGAGAACAGATTGGTGGCTACCAGAGGGGAAGAGTGGGTGGGGGGAGGGCACAAGGGTAACGGGGCACATTTGTACGATGATGGATGGAAAGTAGACTTCTGGTGGTGAGCATGATGTAGTGTATACAGAAGTTGAAATATAATGATGTACACCTGAAATTTATATAATGTTATAAGCCAATGTGACCACAATAAAAAAAAGGTATCAAAGATCAAAGAAGGGCTGAGAAGAAGACAACATCAACCAACCTGCTGAATTTGAATTTGGGTCAGAGGGTAGCGGGAGAGCGTGGCCAGGAGAAAGAAAGGAGGAAGAAGGAGGGAGTGGAGGAGAAGCAGGAGGAGTGGAAGGGAGACGGAGACTTTGAAAGGGGAGGTCCCACCTGGAGGTGCAGCGCAAACTTCAGGAATGGAAGAAGGGACTGAATGGGTGGACACAGATTTTAGCAGGAAAATGGCAGAGTCTGGACAAGAAGGTAGATAGATACGGATTAAGTTTAAGCAAGGGATAGTTTTCCGGGATCCCTAAACCTGTTGATGGAGGAAGGGGAGGAAGACTGCAGGCCTTCAGCG